GGATGGGGAAAGGTTTTTTGGGGTGACTACCTTTGATACATCAGCACATTCGGGATCTCCGCACGAGGGCAACTCGTGGGGTCTAGAGTTTTCCGTGCCGGAAAGCGGGTGTAAGAGACACGGATGCGAAAATAGATGGGGACCGCTGACAAGAAGCCAATTCAGCGGACGATTGTTTACGTTAACGTGGCTTATTGTCTTCTATTTGACTTTTTTCGGCGGAGGGGGTGGGGGAGATATTATTGCATAATTCGGGAATTTGTTTATTTTTGGGGAGCGGCGGAGGGTGGGGTAGTGGGAGGGGGGGGGGCGGGGGCAATGAAATAGAATACAGGTGGAGGTGTTTTGGGGTGGGGCCGGGGTGGAAATTTGCATTTATCAGCTGTTTTGATGAGATTGAAAGTAAAACGAAGGAGATTGCAGGAGGTTAAGACGGTTGTTAAGAATTTTTAATTGCGATTTTGTGGTGGAAATTATTAATTTGAAGAATATGGTGTAATGCAACTGTAATGGGATCTTCAAGATTGTCAGTTGCATAGCGTGAGACAAGTTTTGAAGAATTCAGGAATTTCTGTCATGCAAATTATATTTTGCAATCGAAAATAACGAAATTCCCTTCTTGTAAATTAAAAATTCAGTAGCGAAACGGTAAATTTCTCTGAATCTCAGGGAGATAACGTAATTTTTGTAATAATCTTTTTTGTAGAGCGAATTGAGGGCTACAAAAAAGGTTTTGACACGGATTTTGCTATCTCCTTCAGATTTCGATTTTAGGAGCTTTGAAATTGTCGAAACTTTCGGAATTCTCATTTTTTGCATGAAATTGTTCTTCAGTAAAATTTGGAAACAATCGATTATTTAGAGAATTATCTTATAATATATATTATTTAGAGAATTAATTATTTAAAGAATTATATAGATAATTCGCTTGATAATATTTCGTTTTAAAAAATTACAATTTTTCAATTATTTAATAAATTCTGCTTCGCAAGTACATTTCCTGATTCATTCAGATTTTTAAAATGTTTCTAAGATTTTGAAATGAAGAATCAATTCTAGATCTCGGAAGTTTGAATGATAAAATCGTTGGAAAATGTCCAAAAAAGTCAAATGAAAGCTTTAACTGGAGTTTAACAGCAAAAGTAAAAGACTTTTCATAAAAAATGTGGAAAACTTCTAGGATATATTAAAGGAAAAATGTCAAGACCTTTCCCGTTGCTATGGAGAAATTTGCGAAAAAAATTCTGTATATTTCGTAGAATCGATGATTTTTGAATAATTTAATCGTCAACAAAGACATCCAATCGATCAGTTTAATTAAATATCGTTCGTCCGCCGATTTTTTTAATTAACAATTTTTCTCTGTTTTCAATTGGATAATTGGGGGATAATTCATGGAATAAATAAGAGTTCATTCATTGAAAATATTCAGTTACCGAGGTAATTTTAGTGTAAATTTTAAAAGCGCATTTTCACGAATTTTAATTGGTAAATTAAACAGACTAATTGGATATTGCCGGGGGATTGGGTACTCGTTTTTCGCCTTTTTCGAGTAAAAAAGGACTCATTAGGGTAATTGATGATGAAGAGACTTGGGAGTGTCTATCTGAATGCATGAGTCTCGTTATGGGTATTTGGAAGAATGTGGGATGTGAATTGCAAGAATTATCATTAAGATGTTAGTGGAAGAAGTGGGATTATCGCGTTTCTCGGCTGTTCCCATTTGCTATACATAGAATGGTAGTCGTTGGTTATACACGACACCGCTAATCGCATCCCAATTACGGAAATAGAATCGCCGCGTAATCGGGCAATTACCTGTCACTCGGAAAAATTCGGTAATTAGTTTCGGGGATTATGAGAATTCTTCAGTGGGTTTTAATGGAATTTTATATTGTCTCGTTGCAGTATAAACAAACATGCCTTTCAAGCCGGTAGAGCACCCAAAATGCCCCAAGTGCGGCAAGTCAGTGTACGCCGCTGAGGAACGCGTTGCTGGAGGACTCAAGTGGCACAAAATGTGCTTCAAGTGTGGTACGTAATTCGTTTTTAGTGAAAAACTCGTTAGAATTTTGAAGTGACGCAGATGAAACGTTGGAAGGGGTAGATCTCACTCATCACAATTTTCGATTTATTGGGGAAGAGGTGCAATGGTTCATGTACTGTTGAAAAAATTGAAATTGACAGAAGTGCAATAAAAACATCATTTCTTCAGATTTCATAATATTCTAGATTAATTGCAGTCAAAATTTAAAAATCTAAAGATCGGTCAAGTACTAGGCTTTCATTCGCAAGCAAAGGCGATGAATTTTCAGATTTAATTACGGAAAATTTAATGAAATTCCAAATTTTCGAACAGCATTGACATGAAAATTACTCGATCTATTCGAATTTTCAATAAAATTATGAGTATTTAGAGCTGAATTACGATGAGTTTTCAATCAATTGACAATTCAAGAATATATTTACCGGAATTTCCTTGATTTCTACTAATTGTCAGGGAATTATTGAACTATAATTTACAATTCCCATGGATTTTTCCATGAAATTCTGAATTTTTGATGACGAAATTCCGTGAAATTTCAGTGGAACTAAAATGTGATCAAATTTTTCGACAAGTGGACCGGAAATATCAATCAAAACTTTTTAACAACGTTTGAAACAAGTGGACACTTTCCACATTTCTTTCGATGTTCATAAATCAGTGAGAAATTTATCAATTGACCTCACTCCAGGCTCATGAAAGGATTTTTCGTTACTGTTAATAAAACTTCTTGCTATTAATATTAATTAATTGACTATTAATACCACTCGTTACCAATTAACAAGTTGAGACGTGTTAGACCCTCTCACCTCTTCGCTATTGCATTATGAAATTGTCTCAGTGATGAGTGAAGATAGAATAAATCATCATAAGACTTCTTTTATGGAGAATCTCCACAGCCGCATAAAAGCTCTTGTGAATTCTCGTAATTCCGAACTTCTCGTCTCGTTTTCCAACTTCACTACTGAAATGCTCTCTACTAGATAGTTTTATTTCTCCTCATCAGAAAATTTATCAAATGAACATCATAAATTAATCTTCACATCAATTGATGTAATCTTCACATCAATTGATTTAAAAAGTCATAAGATAAATAAGATGATTTGCCAATCGACAAGAGGAAAAGTTAAAAATTCAAAGCTTTTTTGAAATCCTTCACACGGGGAAAAATCATGTTTAAATTCTAGGAAAATTGGAGTTTATTGACCTTTGAGAGTTATTTAGCAGAAGTTTTGTCAAATATGACAATAGCTTTAGTAAAAATTACAATTTTTTGTGGAATTTTTACCCGAAATACTAAATTTTCCACCAGACTTGAAGTATTTTTTGGTAAAAATACTTCACAGAAATTTGCAGATTTTTTCCAAATCAGAAAGAATTTCAAATTCTTTTTTTTCTTTCTTTTTTTTTGCAGATTTTTTAAAAAATTTTGATTTTCCAAAAATTCCAAAGATTTCCAAAAAATAGAGATGAGCTCCTGATAATTCGTGTCGATGTCACCGGAAATTAGTGACAAAGTCCCTAAAAATAACTTGAAAAATCACTGAATTCCAGAATTTTGCACGCTCTGAATTCCCCAAGGCCAATCCCTAAAAATTTGCGATACCTAAATTCCTAAAAACTAGGGATGCATCACTGAAAATTAGTGACATGTACCCAAAACTCAAAACTATTCCTCTACGTTCCAAGCTCAGGATAAATTGACGAAAAATTTAATTAAAAATTTCCCTCCGTGCATTTTGTCCCATAAAAAATGAAAATAAAAAACTCTTTTGCATTACAGGACTCTGCAGCAAGCTTCTCGACTCAACAAACTGCTCTGAGCACGAGGGTGAGCTGTTCTGCAAAGTCTGTCACGCCCGGAAATTCGGCCCCAAGGGTTACGGTTTTGGTGGTGGCGCAGGCTGCCTGTCCATGGACCAGGGCGAGCACCTGCAGAGAGAGTGAGTGCCGCAAGGATGTCGCACCCGTTGCGTCCCCTCCCCACCGACCCCCCCCCTTTTGTTAAAAACCTCTTTCGACGTACAGCCAAAATTTCCCCTGTAAATACCCTCGTCGCGATACACCAAAAAATCATGCATTCAATCCACTACATTATAAGTGTTTGATGAATTAAACAAAAATTTTCAAAAAAACCGAAAAATACAAAATCTGCAAATTACAATGAATCCAACGACGTGAGTTTACGCCGAGCGACGGAGCCCGAGAGACCCCCCACCCCAGCCATTAAAATCATCACCAAAAATCAACAAATGAAAGAAAATCATCACTATTAATTTATTTACGTTCATTAATCAATTAAATTCGTTATTAATTTATCCAATGTCGATCGGCATCCCTTGATCGGTTGTAAACTCGATCACGACGAGCCTCTCACCCCCTCCCTAATTATCTCAATAATTTATTGTACCCATGACAATGGAAAATTTGAAAATTCACTATTCGAACTAACATCACAGAACAGAACAAGTGTTTCGAAATTCGTTGGTTAATTGCTCCTCACACCCCTCACCCCCTTGTTTATAACGCCTCCTCGTCCCCTTTCATGTGAGCGCGCGTCACGTGGGACAGCGAGCGCAAATTAACGAAATCCCAAAAACAGTAAAAAAAAATGAAAAAAAAAGTGAAAAGTAATTGTGATGAATCTAGTCGGGTGCCAGCCTGTTTAATTGTTTCGTTTTACCTTAATTCTTGTGCTCTTTTTTGTAGAACAACTCGTTTTCACTGTATTACCCCCCCCCTCCCCTTTTCCCTCCCCCTTTGCAACAATCTCTTTCCCCACACGAATTATTTTTCCTCACGATTCCACGAGTTTCAATTTGTACCACCTGTCTCTGTCTCTATCTCTCTATTTTCTCCCCTCTTCTGAACTTCTCATGAACGAAAAAAAATTTATGAAATTCATTAATGAGAAATGGAAATAGAATTTTACACAAACACAACGGAAACTGAATAAAAAAACCCAACGAAACAGTTTTAGTTTTTAGGATCATTTGTACCAGCTGTATTAAGTACAACATTAAAAGAGAAAATTATGCATAAAATAGTACTTTACTTGGAGATATTTATTGAGAGATAGTAATTATCTCGGTTGATTAATGAATAACCCTGTGAATGCGAATGATTCGTCGTTCGATAGCACAATTACACTCACTGATGCGCCTCTCGTCGACTATTTGCACCGGCAGAAGGGATTTTTTTTTCTTTCACGAGAGAAGAACGAAATCCTCGCAAATGCAGTTTTTTTTCCATCCTGAGTAGTAGAGTAATGAAAGAATAGAGAAATAAGTTCATCTGGGGATGGGAAAAAATGAGTTAATGAGTGCAAAAAAAACTTGCCTTCACCCGCCCCCGCCAGCCCCGCCGAGTTCGAGCCACCAGAGGCCCATTGATAAATCCGAATCACACCCACACACACGCATTCGTGATTATAATGGTGAGCACCGAGAATAATAATAGCCAATTCCGCGTGAAATAAAGCTTACCCGCGTATAAATTATCCTGCACGGCCTTTTATTATTTTTCTATTCAACAAAGGAAGAAACTGATACAATTCTAGCTCTCTTTATCTTTCTCTTTCTCTCTTTCTTCTCAGTTCATACGATTTTTCATGTGGAAGGGGGGAACGTGTGGGACAAAAATTGGTGGGGAAATCCTAGCACATTTGGGGGAATTCTAGCAGTTTTTTTGATAATGGGAAAATATTTTCGGTGAGACTCATTCAGATGAGATTTTTTTGAGAGAAATTTTTTCGCACTTTCACAAGTTTTTTTACTTTTTTAAAAATTGGATTCGTGATTTCACGAGAATGTTTTTTATATATTTTAATTCATAGCTTTACGAGAATTTAAAATTTTGTAGAAAAATCTAGCACTTTTTCTATTAAAAATTCTATTTTTTGCAATGATTGCTATTGAAAGCTATCAAAAGTCAAAGAAAGAAAGTCAATAGATCTGTTGGGATTTTTTCCACAAAAATTTTTGGGCATGAATTTTCTACTTACTTCTTACATTTCGTAATGAAGAAAAACTTAAAAAAAATGTATGCTCAAGAATTTTTTACAGAAAAAACCCTAAGAGAATAATTCAGCCGCAAAAATCAAGGTTCACCAACTTTTTTTGAAATATTCCTCAAAAAATTGGGTCCAAAGAAAATGAAGCCCTAGTTTTCCGAAAAATTCCTCCAGAAAAATCAGAATCACCTTTTCTCATCTTATTTTCCGTATAAAAAAAAACCGAGAAAAATTTCCGAAATTTCCAGTAGAATTCCCTGTCGCAGGATTTCCCACGAAATTTTCCGCCCGTGAAGAACCGATGAAAATTCGCAAAACCCCACATGAAAAAGAACTTTCTCGCCAACCTTCTTTGATTACTTAACCCAACTAATCACTTGTTTTAATCCAACTAACAACCGGTGTTATAACGGACCCAACCAAGCCGGTCCAGCCCGCAAGCCTCGCCTCGCTCGGAAAAATCTTTGTCTCTAAATTATCTCAACTGTAAATGTTCAATTGTTCTCTCAATATTCATCGTAAACGTTCCATGTCTCTCATTTCGTCTATCAATCCCTTATTATATATAATTCACCAGCTTAGTAGTGGTAGACCACTCAGTGTCCGCTTCTCTTCATCCTCCCAAAATCAGTCAATTGTCAAAAAAAAAGAATTCTAGAATCATTGTCATGTGCTTCTCGGCTCTCCTCTCGGGGCTCGGCGGAAGCGACTCGCGTGGTCGGGGTTATACTAACAATAGCTAACCCAATACTCGCCTAACACAGATTAAGTTCGCGAGTTTATACGAGTCACTTGTGACCGAGAATCCTGCCACCATTCGATTGTACCTCTCAGAAATTTTTTTTATCTTCATACATTCCAAGAATGATTTCCCCGAATTAAATTCCCCGGATTGAATTCCCCGGATTCTCAATTATGATTATAATTAGAATGCATCAGTTCCGTTACAACCCCGACTTACACAGCAAGATTTACGGTCACAATTTGTCCCTCTTATCTTCATTAATCGCACCGAGTGCGCATTCAGACGTCCATTCTCTGTCTCGACATCACGTTCCAACATTTTTTAAAATCTCATCTCTACCTGTTTATTTGCCGTCTCTACGACTTGTATGTTCTTTTTTCATTCGTCATTTTTTGCAACGCTGCTTATATTTTTTCCATCTCTATCTCTGTTACGATAGCGATAAGGCAATAATCGTAGACCGAAAATGCTTAGATTTTCATCTAATTTTGTTATTTTTATTTATTGAGTGATTTATTCGTTTAATTGTTCGTGCAGCGAGGGGGGTAATGGGATGAGTCGATTCGAATCATAATTGCGGATTTTTGTTGATTTTTATTGATTTCGAGATATTCACGGAAATGTGGTCAGTAGTCGAAATCGACTTAAGGGGAGACTACTATGAGTTTCAAAAGTCGCGGGCTATTGGAGTGAGATTTTTCATACATTGAAGATCGATTATGTGTATCTAGAAACGAACAATTAGCGCAAAAAATTAATTGTTTATTTTTCGTTTACCCCGCAGACGCTTGAAATGTTTGAAATTGTTTTTTTTTTCAAAATTTTTTGAAAAATGTGTACAGTAACAGTTATAAGCTAGTTTTTTGAAATTTGACTCCTACATAGCTATTTTATTTTATTTCAATATAAAAAATTGCTCCATCCATGTAAAATAGACACAAAATGTTTGCAAAACAATCGCGAATACATTTTTAATATTTTGAGGATCAATTTGCTGGCTATTTTACATGAATGGTGCAATTTTTTAAATAAAAAAAACGAAGTCGGTTGTGTAGCAGGCGAATTTCAAAAAACTAACTTGTTATTGTTATTGTACGCTTTTTTGAATTTTTGAATAAAAAACCTCTGCGTTTTTTAATACTTCAAGCGCCTGCGGAACTAACGAAAAATAAACAATAATTTTTTTGCAGTAATTATTCATTTTTATATATATATAATCGATTTTTAGTGCCTGATAAATCTCACTCCAGTATCCCGCAAATTTTAAAACTCATAGTTGCCTCATCTTAAAGGGAAACGGAACCACTTTTCTCCTAGAATTATTAATTTTTATCTATAAAACTACTTTATCGACTCGATCATTGCATTGTTGAGTCAATGAAGTAGCGTCATAAATCAAAAATAAGAATTGCAGGAGAAAACACAATTCTGTATTTCCATCTCTGTGTTTTCCAATTCCACTTTACATGAGAATTGAAAAAAAATCCCGGAGAATTAATTTGTGGAAGATTTTCTGTTAAACTTCTTCTCAACAAAAAATTAATGATTTACTAATTTAAAAATTTCAAATCGACTCATCTCGTTATACCAACTCCCTCCCAATTACTCTCCACAATTTAACCCCAATTATTTAATCTTTTAGTGGAGAATATAGAGGATCCAACGCAGTTATGGAGCCCCGTGCGATCGCCAAGGCACCCGATGGCGAGGGTTGCCCAAGATGCGGTGGCTACGTCTACGCCGCTGAGCAGATGCTCGCAAGAGGCAGAGTGAGTATCCAAAAGCAAAAAAATGTCGGACGAATCAAAAATACCGCGATCCCATTTCTGGTTGAGAGTAAGAGCGAAACGAAACCTCGAGTTATGAAAAAAAAGCTGTCGTAATACCTGCGGCTGCTCAAGGAATTTCGTTATTTCGAGTCTAGCGAAAATAATGTCGATGGAAAATTTTCATATGTGCAACGGCTCAAACGGCCGGTGTTATTGCCAGAAAATGTTGGGAGGAGAGAGCGTCGATGTAGTAATACAGGGGTTTGAGTCACTTTGGAAAATATAAATTCAAGCCAAGAAAGCGTGGGTTTAATTGGCCGAGGCTAATTGCCGGGGCAATTAGATCCACTGCCAGTTTCGGAGAGTTATGATTTCGTTGACAATAACAATCAGAAATGGTATCGCATGAAAATAGAATGAATTATGAGTTCTGAACACGTGTGAAAAATTTAATGGAAGAAGGTAGAGCAGGCGGCAGGAAATTCTATTGGGGTTCTATTGAAAAATTCCACGGGTTTTCTCAAGGTTTCTTTAATATAACAACGATCTTATTTAGAACGATTTTTTTACGCAACTTATTCTGTTGGGATATTTTCCACTTCTTGGATTTATTGGACTGCCGCTTCTTAAATTTTATAAGTATTTTCGATGGAATTTTTGGAATAGAAGAAGGGAAGAATGTAGTGAAAAGAAGTTGGAAAACTTGCGCTGAGGAATTTTTATAGAAAATATAAAAAAAATGTTTAGACTCTTGCGCAATTGTGAAATTCAAGTAACAGTGGCACGCGAATTTTCAATTTTGTGAATGTAAATTCAATTCATTTCATCTCGAGTTTTATAAGTATTTTTGCTTGAATTATTCAACAAAAGACGAAAAAATACAGTAAAAAGAGCTTAGGCTGTTACGAAATTGTGAAGTTGAAGTAACAGTGACATGTGAGTTTGCGATTTTGTGAATTCGCATTCAATTTCGAATGAAATCGTTCCTGGATGCTCTCATTTACCCCTAAAATTTCACAAAATTGAGGTTTTCATATTGAGTGAGCATTGATATTCCAATGATAACTTAAATGTTTAATAAATCACAAACAAATTGACACATTTGTTGCCAAAATGCTTCCAGTTTTCAATCATTTTCATTATCATTTGAACCTGAAAATTGAAATTTCATTGAATATCTGAAAAAACATTCACTTGAAAAATAAAAATATATCAATTTTCTCCTATTAAACATTCCTATTAAAAAATCCGTAAAAACTGTGCGATTTTTCAGCAGAATCGAATAAGAATGAACGGAATTTCAAACGGAAATCCTGACGAATGTGCTAGGTTCTTCCATTAATTTTCATCATACATGAGATTCAACAAAGAAAATCGAAAAAATTAATTTCAACGTGCAAAAATTAGCCTCGATTAGTAGACAATTAGCCCAAAAATCCGAACGGTGGAAGTGAAGTTAATGAATAATAGGGTTTAACCCTCAATTTCCCACCAACATTATGTTTCGTGAATTCTTATGACCAGGGCTACCATAAGGCATGCTTCAAGTGCAAAATATGTGGCCGGAGCCTGGACTCTACGCTCCATTGCGATGGTCCTGATGGCGATGTATACTGCCGAGGTATCATTTCGATGAGAGAAAACAATGAAAATGAGAAAAGCAAAAGCAGACAAAAGAATTTTGACAATTGCCCTTTGAGTTTTCTTTTCGTTTTTCGTCACAAATCACCGTTCACAATCTCTTGCCTGGTTTATTCTCATTATTCACCCCTTTCGCCGTTTGTTAATAATCAATTTGTTTGTCCCTTTATCGTGTATTTATCGTGAAGTCGAAGTCGATTTAACGTGTTGAGTATTCCCGGTGATAGAACGTTCACGTGACTAACAATTATTGAATAAAAAGTCAAACAAAATACCAAATCCATCCTTTGTGTCTTCGGTGTACAGCCATGGCACAGGGAATGCTTTAAATGTGGCTTCTGCTCCAAGAGATTAGACTCCGTCAACTGCTGCGAGGGCCCGGACAAGGACATTTACTGCAAAGGTAAAGGAATATCGTGATGTGAACAAATCCCAACAAGGTACGACACGCAGGGGAAGAGGGCACAGATGAAAAAATTCAATAGAAACTTTAGCGAATTCGCTAGAAAATTCTATTGGAATTCTCCAGAAATTGTATGGGGATTCTATTAAAATTCTAGGGAATTCTCGTTGAAATTCCATTTTTTTGCGCAGATTCTATTAGATATTTGACAGGAAAAAGTCAATAGATTTCGATTTTTCTGTTCAAATTTTTCTCTTGAGGTTTTTTATAATAAAATTTTTGCGCACGAATTTTCTTTTTTTCCCATATTTTGTTTTGTTTTGCATTACAGGATCTTAGTGAAAAAACTTAAAATTCATGGCCAAGTATTGTTATAGAAGAAATTTCAAGAGAATATTCATTTAGAAAAATCGAAATCTATTGACTTTTTCTTATGAAATATCTCGAAGAATTAGCACAAAAAACAAATAGAATTTCGACGAAAATTTCCTAGAATTTTCTAGCGAATTTGCCAAGTTTTTCTGAATGTCTGAATTTCACACACCTTTTGCAGACATTTTCCAGACACTAAAAAAATTCTAAATAAAATTAAAATTTACGTGCCTAAACATTTTAATTCATGTTTGGAAATTCCAACAAATTTTCATTTTATTCAACCGTTTTTTAGTGTCTGAAAAATGTCCACAAAAGGTGTCTGAAAATTTTGCGGAATTTTTGCACTTAAAATCACTTTTAGTGGCTATTCCGAGGAATTCTCCATGAGTGGCCAACACGGAGAGAAATATTCAATAAAAATTACGTATCTTTCTCGTAATTCCAGAGCAAAATGTGGCTACAGAAAATTTTACGGAACTGTCACGTAATTTTGAGCTAAAATTACGGAATTTTTCCAGGGCGTAGTCCTTTTTACCTGAATCTCCTGTGAAAAATTACGATACCGTCACTTACATTTTCTGCGTCGATTCCGTAATCGATGAGCGAACTGTGAGTTTCGTAATTTTTACTGAATATTTCTTCCCGTGGATATCAGCCCCTCCCCGCCCAGAAGAACGCCGAGTACACTGATAGAACGGATTAGTTATTGTTACCGAATGGATTTTGGTTGGAGATTAGGGTCTATTCGGTCCCGCCAAATGTTCATTCGATAATAGTTAACGAATGTATATTTGAGAAGCCTTGTTTGACTTGACTTTCGCCATTCAAGTGAACCATTCGTCAACTATTAACGAATATTCATTTGGTCATATTCAACTCTACCATTCGTTAATAATTAACGAATCTCGTTTGGAATAAATGAATCATTCTATCAGTGTAGGTTCATTGATCCTCCCGCCTATTTTTTCATAAAACCATGGAACCAATATCGAGTCACACAACCAAAATATCATCCACGAAAATCCAATTCTCGCTTAGAATTCCGCCCATCGACAGTATTGAAACGAGAATATCCAAGAGTCCGAAGAT